CTCAGGTCACACAGCTCCTGCAGGCGCTTCCGGTTTCGGCTGACGGCCCGCCCTCTTTCTGCACTGATTGGCTGCGGCACTGACAAATTTGTGAGTGATTGGTTAGATTTTCTGTCAGTTATAATTTGTCAGCGTTGCTCAATTGCCGATTGGTTATTTGTGGGGTACGCCTTAACGACGCCACAGGTCGTGTGACGAGAGACCGCCCAGTTAACGTCCCACTGTATTCAAGGTATATAGATTGATCTTTCTTTCCATTTTTAGCTTTATAACTGGCGTTTCAGCCATTTATACATTCTAAATGACTTGAATTATTTAAAAAAATATTTTTTTTCTTCTTTGCATTAAAATCTTTTGTAAAAAAGATTGGGGTCAGTAATTTTTTCTTTCTTTTTTTTTTTTTAAATAATACTTTTATTTTTTGCTTTGCATTAAAATCTTTCGTAAAAAAAGATTGGGGTCAGTCATTTTTTTCTTTCTTTTTTTGAAAGAAATTAATACTTTTATTTAGCAAGGATGTGTTAAATTGATTTAAAAAAGTGATAGTATAGACATATATTGTTAGAAAACGATTTCTATTTTGAATACATGCTGTTCTTTTTAACTTTTTATTCATCAAAGAATCCTGAATAAAGTATCACAGTGTCCAAAAAAAATATTAAGCAGCACATCTGTTTTTTAGCATGTGACATTGGAGATTGGAGTAATGGCTGATGAAAATTCAGCAATGCATCACAGAAAAAATTACATTTTAAAGTATATTAAAATAAAATTTAAAAAACATTATTTTGAAGTTGTAATAATATTTCACAATTTTACTCTTTTTTATTCTGTATTTTTGATCAAATAAATGCAACCTTGATAAGCACAAATGACTTATAAAAAAACAACAACACCAAAAATCTTACTGATCCCCCTTGTGCCCTGTATTAAAGGCGCAATATGTAATTGCCACTAGAGGGCGCGTATTCAAAACAAACAAAGGCATAGTTTGATGATGCTGTGACTGAGTGTGGAATCATGGGAGCTGTCGTCTTCATCCCCACAGCCGAAGCAATCCGATGGGACTCAAGCAGAAATCATGTTTATCGATGAGCTAATGTATTAAAGATTTATTAACGTCGTAGTATGAAGCAGAGTGAGGCGGAAAGCCGTCGAAGCAAAACGAGCGCGACACAGGGCTCGAAAGCAGCGGAACTTTTATTATGCCACAGTCGACCACTTCTGCTCCTTCCGGAAAGCAGCGGAAGTAAGCAGCGCTGTTTTATCATACTAGATACATTTGAACGTTCTGTTATAATGCTACTCTGTGTGGTCATCACCGGTGTTTCCATGTTTTCTACAAAACAAAACCGGAAATCGAGGGTGTATGACGTCATTGGCAGGCGACACAATAGACACGGTCCGTGTCACTAGTTAAAATTGCTTATTTCTCTGGATTTAAACATTCTTCGAAACATTTGGGATAATGTAAGTACACAAGTCAGCGAAATATATAAAACTGTTCTAGTGGTTTTTGGATATTTTAATGAAAAAATCTGACATATTGTGCCTTTAACACATATAGTGCATGGTACAAAACAATGAAAAAGCAGCATTAACAACAGTGGCGCTGCAAACACCCCCCAGTTTTCAGATCACTCATACGCCCCTGATTTCCCACATGCAATCACACTTGATAGAAAGCGGGGCGGTGCCGTGACCGCGGGACTTTCCAGCGAGGAAAACAAAACTGACATGCGGAAGAGCCCTGAACAGCGCACAGACCTTTGACTCCTTCAGGATACCACAGGACAAAACTGCTTTCTCTCTCTGTCATGCGAACATTCTGTAAAACACTGTCGGAACATGACATCAAACTTACAAATCAGCCCCAATTATAGCCAGCTGGACGAAAACTTATCTGAAAACAAAACTGCAAAAGGGCAGTATATATTCTTCTTGATTCTGACTTTAATATTAAGCACGGAGACGTTTATCACGGCTTTTCTTCTTTATGACTTCTCCAAGGATGTTCACAGAGTGAGTTAAATCGTATAATCTTACATTATTAACATCTTTAAACAAATATTGTTATTTATACAAAGAATATGATTCTATAATTCGTTAAATAAGTTTTTTTTTACTTTAAAAGACTCGTGAAACAGGCAAAGATGGAGGGTATCCAATCCACTGCCTCTCCACAGATCTTACCCAACCGACAAATCAAGCAGGTATCGCAAGCTGTGACTTGTTCAATCAAGAACTGAAACAAACCGCACAGCAGGTATTTAAAACTGCTTCAAGACCTAAATACATTTTGTGATAGTGAGAAATATAAGATGTTCCATAATAAAACTAGATTCCTTTTTGAACAGAGACTGTTGATGGACATACAGAATTATGTACTGGAAACATTAGGAGGTAAAAGAAATACATTTATGTATGTATGTTTGTTTGTTTATTTAGTGGTAGCCTGCATACCCTTACGAAATAAAATAAACTTGAAGTATACTACTTTTTGGTAAGGGTAGCCTACTGCTGCTATGCCCGTGAACGCAACTAACTTGTAATCTAACTCTTGCGGTAGTAAAACGTTAAACTTGAAAACGACTTTTAAACTTTATGCCTGCATATGTAAAAATAATATAGCTAATTTGTGAAGTCAGACCCCGCACCCCCACAGTTCGCGCCCTGATTCAAGCATTGTATTTAATCGAAAGTGTGTTCTTGGACTTTACAGAACATAACGTCACTGAGATTTTCAAACCAGCTGTGCATGTCGGGGCAAAACAAGAGCTTAAACAATATCAAAGGCTGCAGAAAAATGGTAAGATCTTCCCCACAGCTTACATTGTTCAAGATAAAGTGGTTAAGTTTACTAAGTGTTTTTTTTTTTTTACTTTCTGCAGACGGAGTTCCTGCACTGGATCGTATACAGTGGGACAACATGAACGGCCAATTCAGTCAGGAGGGGTTAATGCGCCTGAGTCCCGATGGAGAAATAACGGTGCCACACGACGGAATTTACTTCGTTTTCTCTCAGGTTAATTTCGAAACACAATTAGGACAGATTGTGCACTTTACGCAGTACTTATACAAGACAACAGCATCCTATCCACGACCAGTGATGCTCGCAAAATCTGTAGTGACTCCCTGCGTGAGCGTAAACTCTAGTGTACAGCTTTATTCCAGCCATCAGGGGGCGCTGTTCCGCTTAGAAAAGGGCGACAGGCTCTCCTTGTACGTGCTGAATATAAGCGCCGTGCGTTTCCCACAGGAAGCCACTTACTTCGGGGCATTCATGATTAACTAAGCAAAACAGCAGCATTTTGTTTCAGATGATTTCTTACAGAGATGTTATATTTGTCATTTGTTTTCCAGATATATATTAATACAATGTATGTATACTGAGATGATGAATAACATTTTTATCCACTTCAAGACAAAAATAACTTGTTTTGTTTTGTTTTTTTGGTGCAGTTTTAATGCAATGTTTATTATAAATTAAAGCCCTTTGTATACTGAAATTACAAATGACAGTTTATTTTATTGACATCAAGACTAAATAAAATTTTTTACATTTATTTGTGCACTGTTTTAATTAAATGTTTATTGTACATTAAAGTTTATATGTGAATTATATGTTTTAGTCCTGTTGTTGTAAGTGTAGGTGTTTTTCATCAACAGCCAAAACAGCTCAAAAGCAGTGTAAGAGAATTGCATGTAATTTATTAAAGAAATTAAAGAAAGTTATGATTACACACAGATTTCTTAAATGATACTGATCCTGTAAGACTATGCTTAGTTTATCAATGGAAAAAATGTTTAGTTATACAGTGGTGTGAAAAAGTGTTGGCCCCCTTCCTGATTTCTTTTTTTTTTGCATGTTTGTCACAATTTAATGTTTCAGATCATCAAACAAATTTAAATATTAGTAAAAGATAACACAAGTTTTAAATTAAGGTTTTTATTATTAAGGGAAAACAAAATCCAAAACTACGTGGCCCTGTGTGAAAAAGTGTTTGCCCCCTAAACCTAATAACTGGTTGGGCCACCCTTAGCAGCAACAACTGCAATCAAGCGTTTGCGATAACTTGCAATGAGTCTGTTACAGCGCTGTGGAGGAATTTTGGTCCACTCATCTATGCAGAATTGTTGTAATTCAGCCACATTGGAGGGTTTTCGAGCATGAACCGCCTTTTTAAGGTCATGCCACAGCATCTCAATAGGATTCAGGTCAGGACTTTGACTAGGCCACTCCAAAGTCTTCATTTTGTTTTTCTTCAGCCATTCAGAGGTGGACTTGCTGGTGTGTTTTGGATCATTGTCCTGCTGCAGAACCCAAGTTCGCTTCCGCTTGAGGTCACGAACAGATGGCAAGACATTCTCCTTCAGGATGTTTTGGTAAACAGCAGAATTCATGGTTCACTTCTTCACACAGGGCCATGTAGTTTTGGATTTTGTTTTCCCTTAATAATAAAAACCTTCATTTAAAAAACTGCATGTTGTGTTTACTTGTGTTATCTTTGACTAATATTTAAATTTGTTTGATGATCTGAAACATTAAAGTATGACAAACATGCAAAAAAATAAGAAATCAGGAAGGGGGCCAACACTTTTTCACACCACTGTATATTATTCATATTCTTGTCTCTTATAGTATTTAGCATAGTAAACAGAAAAAAGTTATAAAATACAAAATAATAAAATCATTCAAAAAAAATTCTGTTTACATGGTTAAATGTGGTGCACATACTCTTAAAATCCAATACAACAAATATGGGAAAAGCGAGGTGAATATAGACTATCATGTCATTGATTTTCTCTAGAATGTCAATGACAAGATTTTCTCTTCTCCTTCAGGTGAAAGATGAGGATGTTTAGCCTGTTTTCTTCTGTTTAGAAGCACCAGTCTGACCCTGGGGAATGAAGTGAGAGCTGTATTTAATAAATATTTTATATTCAAAATGTTGGTAAATGCAGATTGACAAACTTTACAGAAATCACAAGGCTGTTAGGCTATGTTTAATTATACAACAGAGACATTTTAGTTTAAGAAGTTGCAGATCTGCAACAGAACAATATTCAGTTGTGAATGTTTCAGTTTTTGACATATAACGTACACTGCACAGAATTATAATCCATTTCTGTTATGAAAAAAAACGTTCTGACCTTCGGGGCTTTGAAAATAAGAAGCTTCCTAAGGGTGAACTGGGGCTGAGGGGTCATCTTTGCATCTATTATTTATATCATTGATCATTTCTACTATGCCCTCATTATGGCTTACATCGTTATTGGCATTAATGAGGATCCTCAAGATGTCCTGGCCTCTAAAATTAGAGGAAGAAACAATTTTACATATAAACTCTGACAAAGAGACGTAAAATGAAGTGTTACTGCATGCAGCAATAACTTAAGGTGGATGCTCACTGTTCACTTCCTTCTTTTAAATGCATGATCCACCATGATCCACTGGATTTATCACGGATTGACAGATATCCCTCCACAGTGGACAAGGCAATCAGAAAATCTGAATCTTTGGGAATGCTGTATGATACATTGCCAGATTTCTTCATACGACTTGCACCAGCACCATGTGTAACCACCACTTTACTCTGCATCTGAAGCCCTCTACATGCCTGGATAATGAACACTTTAGGTTTGCCAATAAGAGCGGGGCAGTTGACTCCATCAAATGGGGAGGTTATGTCATTTAGGGGGCATATTTGCTCATCACATCCCTCAACACCAGTCTTATTTCCATGACTCATCACACAACAGACAAAGCAGTCTCCATGCCGATCATCTTTACTGTATAGAGTCATAAGCTCTTTTATTTGGTCTGCAGTCTTGTCTTCCTTGACTTCAACCAGAAAGCCCAAAAATTCAAATAAGTCCTTCAGAGAATCTGAGAATTTCTCATGTTATGATCTATGTATGGTTATTTTATAAGCTTGACGTTTTTATGCTTTTCTTTTATGTATTTCTCAGTGAGATGTGGACAAAGTCCTCAGGCCGGACTCAAGCACAAAGACATGATGCTGAGACAGAATTAATCTCTCATTGACCCTGATTTTACAATTGCACAACTTACAGTATTTGAGTGTACTGTAACATGCTATTCATTTAGAGTGTTATTTGACCTTTTTGTCCTTTGCAGTTGGACTGCAGTATTTTTGTAGTATCCAAGTGCTGAATATATATAAACATTCTAGTACTATTCAATATTCAGCACTATTCTTGCAGTGGGCCTATACAATATATTCACCTTAATCAGTTGCAATTACTATACTTTTTTACAGAATTGCAAAATTGTTTACTCAATACAATATACTTTTTTCTGTAATGTTCTGGATGATGTGTTCTCCATTTTCCTCTGTAGTGTCTAATGAATGCTGAATTTGAAATGAAAAACATTTGAGGGATTCTAAAGATGGTTCATAAAAAAATGGTAAAGAATCTTTTTTTTCTTGACAACCTCCAATTAACGTTGCAGCTAAGTGCTTACAAGTTCCTGACACCTCTCTACTGGTATCTTGACCCATTCCTTAAGAAAGCTTCCAGATCACTGATAATATTTAGTTTTCATGTTACCACTTTCTTCAAATCACACCAAATATTTTAAATGAGATTTAAATCTGGAGACTGAGCAGGCCACTCAAGAACATTCTACGACCGATCCCTGAACCAAGCTTCAAGTCTATGCACCGAAGGCATCACAATCTTTGACAAAATGGCCTGTTACTTCAAAGAATCCATGTCCATCATACAGTCAAGATTTCACTTCCTATAAAAGCAAAGCAACCCCATAACAGGACTGGCCCACCTCCATGTTTGACCGTTGTGACAGTATTCTTATGCTCATAAGCCTTGCCTTTTTTGCACCAGACATACCGCTGATCCATGGATGCAAAAATGTCCAGTTTGGTCACATCACTGCATAAAACAATCCTCCAGAACTCCTTTCATCAGGTAATCCTGCAAGTCTTGGCAGTAAATCAAAGGTTTTTCTCAGTTACTCTAATCAAACTATTTATTCTATACATTTATTTTTCTTCACAGCCCTCAAAGGTTTTCTGGTACAACACATCTGAAACTTTTAAAGCTGTCTCTAGGAATTTTTAGACTCTTGGAAATCTTCGTGTAGCCAGACTTTCTAATGTCTAATTTTGAGTTGGCCATATTTACTACTCATCTTTAGCACATGCACGGGCTAAATGTATGTATGTGTAACCGCTCAAGCTAATTCAGTTATAGAGTTTATAGAGTTTCTAAAAGCTTAATTGTTTTAACAACTTTGTACCCTACCATCCAAATAAATTAACTTAAAACAGCAATGTTGAATAATTATATCTGTATAAAAAGAAATCCTACAACTCAAAAATATTACATTATATATTGACATTATCACTTCTAATATGCCACTAAACTGTTTTATATAAGGGGTATATGGACTACTTCTATTATGCTTTTCCATACCTAGTGATTGAATTGAATGGTGACTGAGGAAATTGACAATTTCATTTTAAAATTAAAAGCTGCGGTTTCTTTTTTCTTCTTTGTAGCAGCTGTACAAAGACAAATCACAAAATTTAAATCAAATTCTGCCAGCAACACTGGACTGTATGTAACATGTAGTTATGAATTTATTTAAAGTTGTCTAGAAAGGCAAGCGTTGCAGAGCACAAGATGGACAAAAGCTAATCGCTACTTTAGAAAAGGTCACTGCTGGGTAAAATACAAAAGAGAAGAAATTAATAAAAAGGAAAAATAGGGCTATACAAAGCTGAATGTCCAGCCTGGAGCTATTTCCATGCACAGATAAACCCTCATACATAGATGAAGAATCTTCAGTAAGAAATCATAAGCATAAGGGTTCCTTTACCCCAACACTGGGCTCAATTCGTTTCTGGAAACAGTCCCTTAAGGCTCCTGCTGGAGATGGGAGATCTTACAGAGTAACTTCAAACGTACACTTCAACCTGTTTAAAACATTTGCCTACACAAATTCATTTGTGAATGTGAAATGCATACACAGGTCCTACAAAACCACAATTTGCACTTAAAAATATCATACAGTATGTAAAAAAAACAAAAAACAAAGAAAGATGTTTGGCTGGTGGTCTCAGAATCTGCGGCGTTTGTTGGGGCCAAAGTCAACAGGAGGTCCAGGACGAGGGAAGGGAAGAGGGAGACCACCTGGATTACCAGCAGGCCCCTGCTGATAGACAGAAGCTTACATACTGTACACTTTGTATGTTGAACTGAAAGTTGTCATTAGGGCCTTTCGCACCACAGGAACCTTTTAGGGCCTTTCGCACCGCAGGAACCTTTTCATAGTACCAGAACTACTTGTGGAACTACCCACTTTTTGGCGTTTTCGCACCGCCGGAAATGGGAGCGATTTTAGTACCGGACTGCCTTTTTCGAGAACCAAATTAGCTCCTACTCCGGAGCGGGGTCTAACCAGCACAACTGGTACTACCCGTGACGTAAGTATGTGTCCTCCATCCTCCTGTTGTTAATGTTGTTTTTCTTTGTTTCCGTTGTTGAACGCCGCGCACAAATGACGTCGCTGTTCTGGAACTAAAGCGGTGCGAAAGGCCCTAATGTGTGTTGAGAAATCTGTACCTCACTTGAAGCCAAGCTGGCAGCTCCTGCTGTTGTGGTATTTCCACCCATTGGGTTCCTGTTCATGGCCATTCCCTGACCTTTCACCCCAAGAGAGAAAAAGCAATGTCAAGTTCAAATGGGTTAAAAAAAACAAAACAAAATAAAACAAAGAAAGAACATATCTAGTATTTTATATTGCCGACCTGGAAATGAGACCTACATCTTAAAGGATTAGTTCACCCAAAAATTTAAATTAGCCCATAAATTAC